TCAGGCACTGGAAGTGACAGCTCTGAAGACCCTCAGCATTCTAAATTAAATCACTATTTAAAAACTGAAACTAATACTGAAGAGTCCTCTAATGGGATCTTTCATAATATATTTCTATCAATAAGTGCTCCCAAGTGCTAACGCCTGCATTCTGAAATAGCAGAAATCTCTCAAGCCGGAGTTGGAAGAGGCTAATGGGTATTATTTTAAAATTAGAGCAAGGTGTAATATGTCAAATGTTACCCTGTTGTCCAAATAATTAGGATAAACTTGAATCCTCCATCCCCAATTTGCATCAAAGTTTAGAAGGAATCAGTTTGTGAAAGTTTGAATCTCCGATCAACAGCTCCTGAAAATATTCAGAGGAAAATCTATTATTTTAAAATCTGATTTAGGGGCAGGTTGGGATATTCTTATTCACAGTTGGTCGAACCTTATAAAGTTGGTCGGAAAGCAGATTTTCCATCCTGTAGAAAAAAGTAAGGTTTTGGAATTTGTTGCCATTCCCATTGAGACAAAACAAGAGACCTTTTGAAATGTTTCACAAAAAACAAGACCAAGGCCCCCTCAGAATAGCCTGGTGATTAGGGTACTTCCTTGAGAATGTGGGAGGTCTGAGTTCAAGTCCCTTGTCTGCCTGATTTGGAGCATGGACTTGAATCTCCCACATCCCAGGCAAGTAGGCTAACCTTTGGGGGAAGATACACGCATGCACACACACACACACCCCTGCCTCTTCCCCTTCCCAGTGAAGATTCCACTGGAACTGATCCTTTCCCTTGAAAAGTTGGTTTTGGTGAATCAGCATTTCCTGATGAAAGAATGTTCCCATTGGAAAATTCTCAACCAGCTCTAATACCTTACTCTGTGAATACTCCCATTCAATGAGACTTTGCATGAAGCATGATACTGCTCTTTGTGAGTGCAGGAATCACTATCTGCCCCTCAATTTTTAATGAGTAGCCTATCTCCATGATATGACAAAAAGAAACCCAATGTATCTCTGTCTAATTTTTTTACAGAGAAATTATACATTGAAAAACTAATCTGTTTGCCGTGAAATTTTACCATTGTATTTGTGAATAAATATACAGCTTTTGAAAACTGAAGTCAAAAGACTAGTAAGAAGAATCTACTGGTTTATGGCATCTACTTTTTAAAAAAGGCTTTAAGCTACAGTGGTTTCCAGTTTTGCGGACTTACTTATACTCACCCAAATAACTCTTCCCAAATTTAATTGTGGTTGCAAATTCTAGCATTTATACGTCTATCTTATTTGAAGATGTGAGCAGACAGATGTGTAAAGGTTCCCAAAATACCTAGTATAATTATTTGCAGGGGCAAAATTACACCTGCATAATTGAACGCTGTTTCTGAAAACCAGACCCTTTCAGTGTGGTCACTTTTCTCCTCAGTGATTTACAACAAATAGTTCACTACATAGCTTCCAATTCTGTCCATGCAGCACCCACTGAAGTCACTGTGGGATTTGTGTGGATATAGCAGAATTGGGTCCATAGTTTAGAGTCAAGAAAGAATGAGTCTAACAGATTTTTTTTTTGCTTGGTTTTATTACTGCTAGGTTCAGCTAGTTGAAATTTTTAAAATTTTTGAAATGCCAATATAATTTCCCCCCAAAATTTCTAAAACGTTTCACAAAATGGTGTCACTCTTTTCTGTCCAGACCCACAGCTAAGCTTTATTCAGTTATTTATTCACAACTTTTAGAGGGAATGGAATGGTCCTCATTTAGGCACACTTTATAGCAAGGTTCCATTTATAAATAGTTTATGAAAGGTTAATAATGATTAGTAGATGTTTTAGTAAATGAATAATCAATCATTGTAGATTTTTATACAGTCCAATAGACTAGTAGTTTTCTTATAACCATGAATTATAACCATCTCTAACACCATCTACTTTCCATTTTCTTCACCTCCTTCCCACAGTACAGCCTACCCAATCCCTTATGTTTCTTCCCTCTTTGCCTGAAGGAATTTAACACCATCTGGGTATCTTCCCTCTTGGTGCAGAGTAAACCCCCCTTCCCTTCTTGTAGGTCACCCATCACTGTAGTGTACCACGCTGTTTTATGTCTTTATCTTCACAGTACCCCTGTGAGATACGGAAGTGCTATTGTCCCCATTTTCCAGATGGGGACTGAAGCACTGAGAAGTTGAATGACTTGCCCAAGTCTCAGAGTAGCAGCTGAGGAGCCCTGTAGTATCTGAGTTGCTTCAATACATTTTTCCAATGTTCCAAATCTAACCTCTCAGGAAAAAAAAAAGTCCATGGATCTGATTCTGAGCTCTCTCTTACACTAGGGTAAATCAGGAGTTACTCCACAGCAGTGTTAGTCTGTATTCGCAAAAAGAAAAGGAGTACTTGTGGCACCTTAGAGACTAACAAATTTATTTGAGCATAAGCTTTCATGAGCTACAGCTCACTTCATCGGATGCATTCAGTGGCACTAAGGTGCCACAAGTACTTCTTTTCTTTTTGTGAATACAGACTAACACGAAACCTGTCATTATGTAAGGCACTGAATTTAGCCGTATGGAGTGGAAATCTATCAACTTCATGAAAAAACTCGTACAGATACAGACAGACATCATCTTCCTTTCCAAATGCGTTTTAAACAGATAGACATCATACCAAAAGGACTGAAGGTAAAAAATCCATTACAATTTACATACCACACAGACTATGCTGACAGCAGGGGTGAAAGTAAGTTAGAGGATTTACCGGTACGCCAGAGTCCTGCGCAGGGGGCGTGGCCTCAACCAGAAGAGGCTTGGTCTTAAATTCCCGGGCCCTTTAAATCTTGATTTAAAGGGCCAGGGCTCCAGCTGCAGTAGTGGCGGCTGGGAGCCCGGGGCCCTTCAAATCACCCAGGAGCTACCAGCTGCAGAGGTGGCTGGGAGCCCCGGGGCTCGGGGGTGATTTAAAGGGCCCAGGGCTCCAGCTGCCGCGACCGCAGCAGAGCCCTGGTCCCTTTAAATCACTGAGGAGCCCTGGGGGCTCCTGGCTGCCACCGCTGGCCCGGGGATCTGGGCTCTGGCAGAGCTTTAAAGGGCCTGGGGCTCCGCTGTGGTAGCAGCTGCTGGAGCCCCAAGCCCTATAAATCCCCGCCTGAGCCCTGCTGCCCGAGCCCTGGGGTAGCCCTGGGCCGGGCTCCATTGGGGATTTAAAGGGCCCCGGGGCTCCAGCCACTGCTACCGCCCCGGCCTTTTAAATGCCTGCCAGAGCCCTACCACCACTACCCCAGGGCTTCGGCAGCAGGGCTCAGGCGGGGATTTAAAGGGCTCCGGGAGGGTAGTGGCTGGAGGTCCGGGGCCCTTTAAATCCCAGCCTGAGCCCTGCTCCCCGAGCCCTGGGGTAGTGGCAGCGGGGCTCTGGCGGGGATTTAAAGGGCCCCGGAGCTCCAGCCACCACTACTGCCCCGGGGCCCCGCTGCCGCTCCCGAGGGCTTTATATTGCCCTCTCGGAAAGCCGGTCCTGGTACGGCACACGGGCTCTTACCTGTACTCCATACCAGGGTGTACCGGCTTACTTTCACCTCTGGCTGACAGCTTGTGCCACACGCTCTCAAAGAAACTGCGGAACCACCTGATGATCAACATCCTCTACAGCAAACAGGGAAAGATTAAGAATGAGCTCTCAAAACTGGATACTCTCATAAAAAACCAACCTTCCACACAAACTTCCTCGTAGCTGGACTTTACAAAAACTAGACAAACCATTTACAACATACACTTTGCTTCTCTACAAAAGAAAAAGGACACTAGCCACTGAATCCATCCGATGAAGTGAGCTGTAGCTCCCGAAAGCTTATGTTCAAATAAATGTGTTAGTCTCTGAGGTGCCACAAGTACTCCTTTTCTTTTTGCCCAAGTCTGTGGCAGAGCAAGAAATTGAACGTGGGTCTCCCAAGTTCTAGGCTAACACCTGAACCAGCCTTTCATCTGGTTCAGAGATGTTCCATTCCAGAAAGCATCTGTCTGATGGATACCTTCTAATCTCTTGTACCAGTCATTTCTCCAATCATTCTTCATCACCAGAATGTTCCCTAGCACTTGTGGCTTGGTTTATACGACTAGCACCAGTCTCTCATAGGACATCTGAATCCTCAGTGAGACACTTTCCTCTGTATTTAAACACATACTTGTTCTTTTACAAACCCAAGTGTTGCTTAGAGTGTCCTTACGTGGGATTTGGACATCCTGTTGAGATGACCGTTTGAAAATTGGTCCATCAGTGAAAATGTTTTATGCATGCTATGTTTTATATTGAGCATGTCATTATGGCAGAAGACGTGCAATATGCAGACAGCTGGAGAACTGTACGTGAACCCTGGAATTAATTATTCACAGGCAAGAACAAATAACTATATCAATACATTTTCCATAGTTTTGCAAATAGAAAGTTGTGGAGATGGTTATTCATTTTCAGTTGACATCCATTTAACCTAATCATAGGGTCAAGTTACAGACTGTGATTTGTGTTTGTGTTGACACATTCCTTGAATGTATAAACCAATAGAAGCAGTGGGTTTTTCTCATATTTGGGCTCAGTAGTTGAGCTGAGGTAACACTAAGCAAGAAGGTTTCTTTCTGATCTCAGTGGCCAAACTTAAGGTCTGATCTCATTCCCTTTAAAGTCAAAGACTGAACTTTCATTGATTTCACATAGATGCAAAATTCAGGTACCTAGCTTATGCACCTAAGAAGGAAATACAAACATAACTCTGAACGATAAGACAATTGTGTTCTTCAGGACAATGGAATTTCCTCTGGGATTCTTAGATACATTCATTGTCAAAGGGACCAGTGCATCAGAAATAAAAAGCTCTCTGAAGAAGTGCTTAAGCTCTAGGGATAAAGTGGAGTATTCCCCTATGTTAGTACTGTAGCATTTATATATTCATTTAGCATTGTGTTTTGTGTGCTTCCTTGCTCATCAGTGGTTTTACTATGATCTTTTCTTTCTTTGGTTTTCAGCTGGTTAATAATCCACTGGCAAGTCAAGCAGCAGCGGCTGCAGCAGCAGCAGCCATGGGCTCAATAGCAAGCTCACAGGCCTTTGGCAATGCACTCTCCAGTCTTCAGGGGGTCACAGGTCAGCTAGTCACTAATGCACAAGGACAGGTGAGTGGAAGATGGAGAAAACAGTGAATTCTTATGGCAGATTGATCTTTGGATAAAAATGAATTTCTTTTGCTTGACAGCAATTTGTAAGTGCACATATTGAGGATAAATAAATAATGTTTACCAGGGAAGGTAAGAAATAGAAATGTTTAGGACCGGGGGAAGGGGGTTGTTAGAATGGGGAATTTGTTTTTTAAACTGCAAATGGTTTAGCTTTTGCTTTTATAATACAATCTTGGGAAGAGATAACAAGAATGTAACAATGTGGTATTTTAAGTGTGCAGATTGTTGCTGCGTCTTGATTTGCTAATTCAAGAACCTGATAATTCTCACCAAAAAAACAACAGCAGTCTCTCCCCACTTCTAAGCACAGATTTAATAACAGAAATCTATACTGGAGTCTTACAGTACTAAGACTGCATTATTTTTTATAATAAATTAAATTTATAATAAAATAAATTTTTAAAATAAATTAACAAAGCATATTTTGTAATGCAGTATCTTTGATTTAATATGCTTATTTGTTCATTGTTTATTAAATCACAAAATGTAGCAACCTGTAATGGATCTGCCAGTCATTAGTGCAAATTCAAGAGGCTCTGTTGTCTTTTAAAAGCCTTTTAATACTGTGTTTTAAACACGATAATTTGTAGATTTTTGAGATTCTGAATGGGAAGTTTCATCATATCATGCTTATCCACAGAGTTTCTTATTTGTCTTAACTGAAGCTGATATCACTCTGGTCCTGCTATAGACCCCAGTTCAGAAAGGTATGCGCCTAACTTTAAGCACATGAGTGATCCCATTGACTTCAGGTTCTTAAGTACCTTCCTGAATCATGATCTCTGACTGACTCTATTCTATCGTCTGTCAGTAACAAAAGTAATGTGACTGTTTATTTTCAGTGAAACAATATTATAAAAGAATCATTATAATAAGTGTAATAATATTGTTTAAGATTAATACTGCTAACTTGGTACTCCTATACCAAAAAACATACCTGTTATTAGAATAGATACAACTAAAATGAAAAATTCAAGCTGATGACAGACACTTCAGGAGATGTTTGATGGACTGGTACAGCCCTGGCTATCAGTAATTATAAAGTTTCATTCTACAGTTTTTGACTTATAATTCAAAAAAGCACAAATTATAAGTTCTTCTTTTCTTCTGCATAATTTTGTGTCACTGAGTTTTTTTACTAGAGACAAAGGTTACATTTTTTTCTGATCAGTAAAACAATACAAAACAAAAACAGTATCCTCAAACTTTATGGGGATTTTTTTTTTTACATAAAACATAAACAAAGATGCATCCTGAGCTTCAGTCTCCCCATCTAAGTCCCAGAAAAAATGCTGACCTTGTTATATTTACTGGGTGGGTACAGAATTGTTCCATCACTACCCCGAGGGTTGAACGATGGAGCTTGTCAAAGTGAGGCCTTATCTAATGAATCATCTTATCGCAGGTGCACACCACACATATTAAAGGAGGATTGTATGAACAATGTGCCCTCTACAATAACCTTTCAATGTCTACTTTAACCCTTGTTTCAATCCCTTTTCATCAAGGGATCATTTTATGCAGCCAGCTTTAAATGGAGGCTCTCAAAAGCCTATTAAGATTTCTGGAGGCATGGGGTATTGGTATGGAAGAAAAGTTGGTTATAATACCTATAATTCATAGTCAGATCACTTCCATCTAGAAGGCTTGCTTCTTTATATCTGTGCTCCAGAAATAGTGCATATCGTTCTCTCACAAGAGACACTTGGCTCCTAAGATGTAAATTGTAAGAGTTGAAGATATACATTCATGCCAGTTTTTCAGTAGTTTTCCCTTACATGTTCTCTCCAGAAAACATGTAAGCGAAATATATACGTAAGTCGGGTGCTTAATGAATTAGTATTATGAATATACCAGTGAATGAAACTATGGTCAATTGGGCCAGGGTACTGCTAGTTATTGTACAGGTAAAGTAAAATCCAATAACTCCACAGGTTTCAGCGAAAGAGAGGGGCTCTGAAAAAAAGAGACTCTTTCTCTATTGTTAAATAAAAGTACGGTGTCTTTCTGTCTATTCAGCTCTCTGGGGCAGAGACTGTTTTTTTGGTGCGTGTCAGTAGAGTGCTTAGCACAGTAGGGCTTTGGTTCATGGCTGGGGCTCCCAGGCACCATCACAATGTAAATAAATAATAATAATGACAACAATAATAATAATAAAAATAATAAGAGTTTTCTATAGCAGCCATCTCTATAATAGTCTATGGCTTATAGTATGCTTCTGATGCTATCCGTCCACGTAACAGACATATCGCATTTTAGTCTGAGGAGTTCTGTCGAGTCTGCCCTTGCCAATTAATACAATTCTAGCAAAGCACCAAAAATGGCGGGTCTGATTTTTAAAACTGAATCCATAAGTGGGTCGTGGGTTTGGGTACCTCTGCTTTTTTGGGTGCTCGAGCTGAGACCCCTTAAGGGGGTCTGACTTTCAAAAAGTCCTGAGCACTTGCCCTCTGAATATCAGGCTCCTTCAAAGAATCTCTAGTTTGGAACCACAGATCACTAGTCATCTCTGAAAAGTTACGTTCAGGTGATTTACCATTTGTACGCGCAAACATTTGAATTGCAGACCCCTTCTTTTTTAGGTCTTGTATAATTGTCTGTCTGTTGACTAAATATATGGTGATCCTTAATCCCTTGTAACACAGTGACATAATGTAGGTCAAATCTGAAATCCTATTGCAAATCTAGCTGAAATTGCTTTTTGGGTGACATATGACTTGACCTTCAACTCCAACCATTTTTATGTTCAGAGTGTCCAGATTATACAAGTGTGACAACATTTTATGTAGCAAATTTGTATTGATTTAATTTTGGAATTTAAAAATGACGGTATGATTTCTTTTCTTATGTCACTACTAGTCATTTGAGAAGCCTGGGTTTTTCACAACCAAGATATCAGAAGAGATCTTATCAGTTAGATAACAAATTTACATCACCTGATTAGTTTATCATGTAAGTGGAAAAGTCTATGTTAATTGTCTGTATTCACAGGCAAATGAGGTTATTCTGTCTTCAAAGTTAAGAAGCCCATTTGTACAACTTGCGCTTGGAATTATTTCAGATGCAGAAAAATAGACTATTTTTTTACTCTGTTGCACGTAGAAGAAATCATAGAAATTTTATGTTTTAACTGTTGGTATTAATATTTTGGAAGGACGTAATGCCTATTGAATCGCTAGCTTTTAAATCACTACAGATTCGAAAGCATGCTTTATGGTGATGGTTACTACAAAGGCTACCCTCAGCCCAGTTTTCTACTTGACTAAAATATACAGCCATATTCTACCCTCAATTACACTCATGCAATCCTGTTGACTTCAGCAGGATTTACATGGGTTTGAAGTGAGGGTGCAATGCAGCTTAGGAAATGCAGTCATTTTATAAAAAGGGCAAGACCTTCTGAAGAAGAAAAATACTCATTTTGTCAACCTGAGGGATTGTAAAATAGAAATGACACCACAGAGTGGAAGAACATAGCATGTTAAAAAAGTGAAATCTAATCATATTATAAAACTCTGTTGTGCTGAGGAGAGAACAAAACCACCTAATTTTCCTTTTTTGATATTAATGTGAAAATAATGTCAGTGTTAATATACATGAATAATGAACATGTTAATTATACAGTGGATTTAAAGAATGATATCAGTATCATTTAAGAATATCATCTAAAGAACTCAATCTACATTGAACATGTACCGAACTCCCTGGATATGAAAACCTTCTACATATAGAGAACCTTTGGTGCAATCCACAGAGGTTAACATACATAACTATCTGTAGAATTTTTAATCTGCAATTAGCTTGCAAAACTAAACAGAAAGAATGGCATTGTTGATCCAATTCAATAATAGATGTACATTGGTTCTCATTATTCTGATGAGAGGGCACACATTTGCTCTTTGAGCTTCTTGATAGTAAATGGTGCTAATGAGGCCTGATGGATTCTCTGCTCCTAACAAGGCTCTCAGCAGTGAGAGTGATTACAATGGAGATAGATTTGATGGGATGTGCTCGCTTTTGTAGTGTCTCAGCTGCTGACACTCTGCGACATAATCAGGTCACAGAGCCGGTCACAGCCATCCGCGAAAGCCATAGCTCTATCCCTCATTATTAAAGGGCATTATTCAGTTCCAGGCCTTCACAATACAGCCAAGGGCCCCTCTTTTTTTTCTTTTTTTTTTTTTTAAGCATCAGCTCTCAAATACAAGGGTTAATAAAATAATACTTCATCAGCTAAAAAAAGTAATAAATTAAAGAAATGGCAATAAAGCATTCCCTTTCAAATTCATTGAAGAGTTGCAATTAAATAAGCTGGGGAATTTTCATCACCCTGTGCAATATATGGTACAATGTAATATGTCATGAGCAATAAAAACTGGGGACAGGATTGCAGAGTAGGATTGTGACTCTCTTTGTCAATTGATTTGCTAAATACTAAAGTATCTCCCAGTCAAAAAGAAATCTCTCTCAATGCATCCACTTTTTATGCATGTATTTTTGTTATTCTCATGTTCTTTTGTAACTCTTCTTTTCCTTGGTGTGACAAGCACTTTCCTGTAAACTAAGTTTTCAAGTGACATTTTTGATGGCTCTCTTGTCTTCTTGAAAGTTTGGGGATAGTATAGGCATCAAATTAATGTGATTAGTCCAAAACTGGATTATAAATGATAAGGCACAATGTTATAACTGTTCTCTTTCTGTAAGAACATACAATGCCCATCTTTTGAAGAATGCAATATCTGCAGCAAGATATGCTACAAGGTAATTGCAGCATTTTATTCCTATTCTAGAGATATGCCCTATGGGTGCCTCTAAACCATAGAACGTGTTTATGCGAAGAAGTTGCACCAGCTTAATCTGAGGTGTTATTTCAAACCAGTTTAGTTAAACTGGTGCAAAAGTCCAAGTGGGAATTCTTGTTTTGGTTTAAATCAGGC